AACAAGGAAAAAAGTGGTTTCACTGCCTGTGTCACAGTGACACCAGCTGGCCAGGCAAGTTATGGCAACTGTATCTAATTCTCAGTTGGACTTTGAATAAAGTCCCTTAATGCTTTTTAAAGTGTTGTACAATTTGCATTAAATAAAAAACATAAGATTTTAAACCAAAAACATAGTATAAAAGGAAGATACATAAATTATGATCCAGTTTTACATATAAGATCACTGCACTTCTCTATAAAGTCCACAGTCAAATGCTAAGTGATATATCTAACATTTATTTTCTCTGCAATTCTATCTCTATTGAAACAGAAATATGGCCCTGAGGTTAAACATAATTTATTGTTTACTGCTCAGGAAAATAAAGGTATAAAAATGAACTATATTTAAGTAAACATATACTTAATTGAACTTGAGTGTAATGTACACAAAACAGTAAAAAGATGGTTTTAAAAATACTATTTTCCCTGGGGAAGAAAGGAACCATGTGATTAAGTTTCATTTTCACATCAGTGTGTTAACTGTGTAGGAGATGCTGGTGCTTTGCGTGTTGTTAATGCAAGTACAAACGCGTTTGACCAACGTCCCATTGTCCTCTCTGGAAATGGGGTGCAATGCACTCCTGCTGCTCCTGGCTCCCCCAGTGCCCAGCCCGAGAGCACAGCCTTGAGGATAGCACCTTTCCCTCCTCTACTTCCCAATACAAACCCAACAACAACAAGGCAGAGCAATTTCCAACAAGAGAATCTGGTATCAACCAATGAGGAAATTTCAAAGCAGTAGACACTGGTTTTGAGTACGGACCCAAAGAACTTTTTCAATGCCAGTTAAAGGCAAGACAGTTAACAGTTAAAGACCCACGCTTGGGCTTTGGCTATACAGTAAGCCTTTAAGAACAAAGTCAGGGAAATTAGTTACCAAATACCAGGTTGGAGCTGACATTGCTCCAGTTTTAATTATTGTAGTAATACAATGTGTGGTACTGTTTCCAGGCTAGGAAAAAAGACCAGAAACTAGCAGTGTCCAGAAACAAAGATATATACACACACGCACAATCACCTGATTAACAGCAAAAACCCCTAGTGAAGAAGTGACAGTCTCTCTCCTCCTCCAACCTTGGAGGTGCAACTGATAAAACTGTATGTAACTGTAAGGTGCACTATGTGAATGCTTTTAAGATAGGGTCTCACTATATAACTCGGACAGGCCTTGAACTCACTATATAGCTTAGGCTGGCCTCAAACTCACTGTGATCCTCCTGCCTCAGCCTTCTGAGTGCTGAGATTACAGGCATGTGCCACCACACCCAGCTGTAATTTTTATTTTACATTTTAATATACTGTGAAATAATTACTACAATCAAGCTAATTAACATATAACCTCACATAGTGGCCATTTGTGTGTATATGGTGAGAATACCTAGATTTACTCAGTAAACTGTAACTATATAATACACTATTATTACTATTTTTGCTTTCTGAAACAGTTTTAGTTCACATAGTCAAAAAATTGCCCAGGATAGGCTTTTGGCAGGGGGAGGAGGAATCCTCCTGCCTTGATCTCCCCGGGTGCTGGGATTATACCACCATGCCATGCTCGATTTCATTTTCTTTCTCTCTCTCTCTCTCTCTTTTTTTGGTCTTTTTCCTTTTTATGGGTACCAGGGGTCGAACTCACGACCACACACTTGCAAGGCAGGCGCTTATGCCGCTGAGCTAAACCCCCAGCCCCAAGATTTCATTTTCTTACATGACAGCAAAATGCATAGACTTTTCAATAAACACTGGTGGGCACTGGATGGTCACCTGTGTGAGGTAGAAGAATCATGATCCCTTCTTCACACAGTACATAAATATGAATTCAGCAGTAACCACAGAACTAAGCGTGAGAAGTGAAGCAAAACTTGAGAACTGACTTATACTGTGTAGGCAAAGATCTCATAAATGAGACACAAAGGTCACTAAAAAAGGAAACAATGACAAATTTGGATTTCATTGAAATTAACAATTTTTGATCACTAAAATTGTTACTGATAGTAAATACAGACTGGAGGAAGACATTTGTGCTATGTTCAAACAAATAATTCACACTTAAAAGATATAAAGAATTCCCACCAGACAATTAGAAAAAGGCCCATGCTTGGTAAATGTAAAAAGCTACCTCATAAGAGACAGTATCATAATGGCCAGCAAAGATATAGGATGTGCTCAGCAACTTTAGTCACAAGGGAAATTCTAAACTATAATGGAGACAGAAGTGGGAGGGTCCACATACAATCCCAGCTCTCAAGAGGCTGAGGCAAGAAGATTTGAAGTTGGAGGCCATCCTGCCCTATAGAGTTGCACAGGAGATTCTGTCTCAAAAAACAAAACAGATAAAAATACCCACAGAGGGATACCATCACACCGTCATCAGGATGGCTCAGAGTAAAAGGTAAAAGCCTAGAACTCTCACTTTGTGCTGATAAAATTGTCAACAGTCATGACCAGGCGGTCACACTCACGGGTGAAACATCCAGTAGAAGCAGCACAGTTAAAAAGAATGAAATAGTGCCCCAAACAGCAAGATGACAGACAGAACACCAGTGATGACTCTGCCAGTCTGCTGCTCAAGAACTGTCACAAGTGGTCCCTGCAGGTTTAGTTTAAGGGTGGTTACCCAGGAGGGCAGGTGTGCTGCCCAGGTCAGGGCTCCCGGGAGCCTTCCGAGGGCCTGGGGACACTCCTGCGTCCTCCTCTGGGTGAGGGCTCTGCTGAGCTGCACACTTCAATCCTGTGCTTTTTACTGTGCGACAACTCCTCTTAGAGGACAAGAAGAAAGAGAAGAGACAGTGTGAGAGGTGACTTTCCTAACACTGGCTGCGATTTTCTGGGAGAGAAACAGAATGTGTGCTATCACTAAGCTACACCGCGGGCCCTGATACTCTGTGTGCACCACCTTTCTTGGTAGAGGCCCTCGGTCTTCAGCTGACTGCCACTCAGTATGCTGGCTCCTTGACGGCAGGCACTCTTGCCCGTGGCTATACGCCCAGTGCCTTGCCTGGTACATAACACATATCAGTACAGAGTAAAATCCCAAATGGGACTACAATCTTTGTTAATGAAAACACAAATAGAAATTCATATAGTAACTGGTAAAGGCTAATGATGATAATTTGTTTCCTTATTGTGTAGGTGTGCCTTAAACTAAAACCTGAAGTAAAAATGTTCTGTGTGCTCAGAATTTAAGAATCTCCTAGGAATCACTCTGTTTTTGGCCACAGGTACTCAAACTCACATTAAAGAACATGTACATTAAAGCAAAACAAAACACAGTAGCTTGGATGTGGGCTGTCCCTGGCAAAACTCATGGAAATCTGGTTGCTAAGGTAGCAGTGTTGGGAAGTGTTTCTCGGGTGGCTGAATCAGGTCTCTCATACAGTTACTGCAAAGCACCCCACTCTCCACTCTCCCTGTCTCTCCTTCTCCTCCACACGTACCTGCCCTCATGTAAGCATTCCCACCCAGGATTCCATCCATCCAAATTCTGATGTCCCAGGAGGCCCTTGCCAGATGTAGCTGCCTGACCTGGAACTTCCCTGCCTTCAGAATTGTGAATAAACCTCTTTTCTTTATATATTATCCAAGACTCAGGTATTCTGTTGTAGCAACAGGAAACAGACTAAGACATAAACTTCAAGCTTGAAGACACATTAGTTCTTTTCAAGAGACTGTTGAGACAAAAAAAAAAAAAAAAGAAATTAAATCGATTTTTCTAATACCAATTAAACTGATTATTCTAAAACTTCAATCAGAAGTGAGCTTCTGCCTACCCTGGGCTACTCTTAGCAACATCTGAAGACACTTTTCCTTTCCACACCTGGAGGGTGGAACAGGCCAGGGATAGCTAAGCAGCCTACAATGCCTGACCCAATCTCCACAACAAAGAATGACCCACCTCACACACCAACAGTGCTGAGATAGAGAAAGCCTGAATTAAGACAACGCTTCTGTTACTCTAAAGGACTTTATTTTTAAACACATGAGGCAAGGAGTCTATCAATAATTTTAAGAATCTTTCAATAATACTTTTTCAATAATATGAAAACTACATTTTCATGTTATGAAGTTATACCAAATGTCACGGAACAGGACATTTAATGTAAATATCTCCAGAAATAATAACTATCATTTATAAGACTCTCTCAGGAATATTACTTATTTAATATTAATATCCTCATGACAGTAAGATTCTTATTACTGAAACAAAAACTTGAAGAGATCAAATAAACACTAGCTGAAGATTATTTTGCTAGAAATAGCATAGTAGAAATCTGAACCCAAATTATCTCCACATCCATGGTGTCCTCATTAAAATACATTAAATTTAAATTTCAACTCAGCATAAGATAAAAAAAAGTCCTGGGCCAGGGTACAGGTGCGACTCATTGGTAGACTCTGTGCATCTGGCATGTTCAATCCCCAGCCTTAAAAAGCACCCAAGTTTCTGCCCTGAGTGAAGTAAGACACTTTAAAAAGCAAACAGCAAAACCAGGAGCAGCTACTCAGGAATTATGGACACATAGGAAAGAGATTAGACAGTGACAATTTTTAAAAAGGATGATCTATATCTAATATAAATAAAATTTAGTTTTATAAAGTTATATGCCCAAATCATCAGACACACTCTTATTCTAGTCTACTCATGAGATAACAAAAAAAGTACATGGTCTAACTTAACCTTGACACAACCATCATGACCTACTCTGCCATCCCTATGCAGTAGCATCAGATTCCCGCAAGAAACCTCTTTAAGAAAGCTGGGCTTTAGTAGCACACCTCTGCAATCTCCTGCTTGCTGGGGAGGCTGAGGCAGGGGCCAGCCTGAGTACACAGTGAGACCCTGTGTCAAAAAATTAAAAAAGAAAATATTCCTATATTAAATTTTGTCTATTACTTTTCTCTCAACATTTAAAGGCTTTTTGTGATTCTTTGCATTAATAGAAAGAAAAATGTTCTTACCTTGTTAAAGCCATGTTCGTGAGTGTCATCAACTTCTCCATTACTAGTCACTGGAATTTCTGCTGCTGAACTTTTGGGAGACTCCTGAGCCATGGTAGACTACTTAAAAAAGAGAGAGAGAGAATCCACACTAGTACCAAATCATAAAAGGCACATGGTCAAAAGAGCCTTCACCCCCAGTTAATATTTCCTAGCCACCAGTTTAGAAATGCAATTTAACTAATACTTCCATAACAAACATGTTGGTAATACCAAAAAAGAAATGCCACTAGATGTTTTCACTACAGTCAATCTAAATTTATCTATCAAAAACAAACTCTTTGTTGTAGGTATCAATGGGTGCTATCCTTCCCTCTGTTATGACAGAGCACTGCTTACCGCTGGAAGGAATACACTACAGAAAGCCAGGCCTGGCTATTAACACATCTACCGCAGCTCTGTTTTTCCTGTTGTAGTTAATGGGCTTTTAAGTGAACATCTGCCTAATGGAACAGTTTACCCAGCATTTAAAAAAAAAAAAATTAAACCTCTGTATTAGGAGAATCACGTTTTATACTTGAGTCCTAAAATAATATTTAAAAACATATTTGTTAACTTTATAACTAAAGAAAATGCAAATTTCTCTGAGATTAAATAACAGAACACCAGTAATAGTTGTTAAAAAACTTCCCAATCATGATTCTTTTAAAAATTTGACTACGAATGAGAATCTCACATAGTTAAAGGATTATAAAAAGTATTTCTTACTACTTTAAAAATTTCCAAGTAAATAAACTAAGCAGTTTATTTCACTTCTCACAGAAAACCACTAACCTTCTTTCCTTTCCTCTGGCTTTTTAATCACTAAAGATGCTACAGTGTTCCACATGCATGTACACAGACACCTAAACTCTCAACAGTGTGCCCCATAGCTGCCTGCTCTCAGCCACGGAGTAGCATCTGAGAAATGAGCCAGGCAGTTTTGTCCTTTCGGCACAATGGAGTATGCTTACAGAAACCAAAACTGGTATGTGAGCATGTGACACAATCTGATGAGACCACCGTCACTGACCACAACATCTTTATGTGGTGTTGATCAAAAACAGCAGGGTACGGCGGCACACGCCTGTAACCCCAGGACTGGGAGGCTGAGGCAGGAGAATCACTGCGAGTTCCCAGCCAGCCTGGGCTAAAAGTGAGCTCAAGGCCAGCCTGAACTATATAGTGAGACACTGCCTCAAAAATTTAAAATACATATATAAACCCAGAAATAAAGAGCTAACTTGGAAAGCAGCACAAGAAAAATAAGTATTAATTCCAGGGAACCAACTGGGAGACCAGTTAATGGCTGACATCTCCCCAGAATTTATAAAGGCCAGAAGAGAACAGACCACTTGAAAGTAATGAAAGAAAACTGTGTCCTTAGCACACTACACTCAGAAAAACATACTTCAAAAATAAAAATAAAAACATTTTCAGTTAAAACTAAGAGAATTCAGCAACACCAGATCTACATTATAAGTAATGTTAAAGGAAATTCTTCAAACTGAAGGTAAATAAAACAAGAAATATATAAATCTTAAGAATGAAGAACTAAAAAGGTAAATAAATACTTGAGTAAACAAAATGCTACTTCTTCTTGCCTCCTCTCAGCCTCTTGATAAACCATAAATAACTGCTGGAAACAAATATTGTAAAGGTATCTTCTGAGGCTCAAATTTTACCTAGATGTAATATCTGTAACTACTACATCAAAGAATAAGCAGTGGGAAAGAAGAAGTAGACCCCAAAAGGGAATCAGATTTCAACATTTTAGGAGTTGAAATTAATAAAATTAGAAGTGAAATATAAAAACAAATGAATACAAAGACTAGGTAAATTACCAGGAAAATGCAAATGGAATTCTAAAAGAATTCAAATAATCAAATACATTCAAATGTAGGTAAAGAGGAAACGTAGGGAGAAAAAACAAGCGAAGTAAAAAACTGGAAGAAGAGAAAGCACACGTGCCTGATCAATTTATTTTAGGGAACAGTTTGGTGAGAGGTTAAATTCAAGAAAGAAAAGACTGAAGATAGAAAATCTATTTGGGAGGACACTTCACGGTCCAGATAAGAAGATCTGAATTAAGGCTGTTTGGGCATTCCAGTAAAGGAGGCGGTGGCGCAAAGGGCCTGCAGGACGCCAGGCCGTGGGGAGGAGCGGCAAGGCCAGGAGTCTGACAAGGGGGTGCGACCCCTGCCCTCCCCTGCCCTCCGCTGTGCTCCCTTCCCCTCCCCTCCTCTCAGGCAGCCGCGCCCTCCTGGGCAGGTTCGGGGTGCCCAGGACAGTCTGTGGGTCCACGAGCCCACCCCACGTTAGCAGTTTCAAAGCGCAGGCCTACTGCGCCAGGCTGATGGCGGTCTAGAGCTGCTCGGCAGCTGCTCTGCCGGGTGTGGGCCACAGTGGCCAGGGGGGCCTGAGGGAGGCACCCCACGGAAAAGCAAAAGGTGGAGGCGCTGCTGAAAGACTCACGCGGAGAAATGACAGCAGCGAGACTGCTGCTCTGGTTTATGACTTTAAATAGGAAATAACTGTTCGGAAAAAGAAAGTATAACGATAAACCAGGTCGCTTGATGCCAGGAAGGAGGTACAGTGAGTCCCTGACTCAGGAACGGTTCCGCGCAGAGAGGACACTCGAGGTCGCACTGTTGCTTCCCAAGCCCAACAAAGCGAGCCTCGCACCGCCAGGACACAAGCATGGCGCACTGTGCTCCACGCCCCTGGGGGTCCCCGCATCCCCGCGCTGCTCCTCCTGCTTCCCGACCCCACCTCGCACGGCGCGCACCCTGCTGAACCGGGAGCTGGGGCCTCGCTTCATTCCCATCTAGAGACGTTTGTGCGGCGAGGTGCGTCCACACCTCGGAAAGCTCACGCTCAACTCAAGTGGACGGCTTACTGCAGTAGAAACAGCCATAGTAGGGACAGCCATCGGCCAGAAGGCGAGCCATCACTCTCGGCACACATTTTCTTTCCCAGCGAACAATCTAGACCTACTTTTGGCAACACTGTTAATTGTAATACGGAATAACCAGCATTCAAATCAGCAGGGAACAATGACAACAACCACCCCTCCGTGTAATCAGATAAAACAGAACCTCATCTGTGTTGCGGTCCAGGCTACCTGGGGTCCTTCACAAAGCCCAGTCACCCTTTGGGCTCTGCTTTTCTATAGAACCTCTACTACTAAATCTTGAATATGAACTATACTTTGCCATCGTGAATAGTGCTGTGACTGTTCTCAGCTTCTGAAATATTCTTCTGTCTCTAGCACCTACGAAAACTGTCCCTAACTTAGGTCTGGGCTCAATCATTCACTCCTCTAAGACCATGCTGTGCAGTAATAAAGGGCTTTCTGGAATAAGCTTTGGGTTAAAATCTCAGGTCTATAATACAGCAACTGCTTTGTGATCTTAATCTTATGATTCTCATCTATAAAATTAAACATGTACACGTTTCAAATACTTAAATGAAGTAAAGAAGTGCTCAAAGCCCTTAGCACAAGTAGACTTTCACTGAATAAAGAGTGATACTTCCAGTGTGCGAGTAAGTGCTTAACAACTGGTTCTCCAAACAAACGAACAAACAGCCTTGGCCTTAGTATTTGTCTATTTTTGTGGTGTCAACACTCTCACTGTGGTCAGTTTTAAGCTTCCCACACAATCTCACTGAATCCACAGACAGGAAGGGGCATGCAGCACCAGGGGTACCCAAGATACAGAGTTAACCAAACGAGTTAACACCGAGTTAACATGGAGACAACCTCGGCACAGGTAACAGACATTCAGAAACTTGTTTGTTTTTAATACAGGACTTAGTCATGAGTTTGTAACTTAGGGTTTAAAATATATATATATATATATATATATATATATATAATTTAGGTTATTCAGAAATGTTTAAAAGCTGGCTTACAAATTCTTGAAAGTGTAACCATCAGCTTTTACTGATTAATCAATATAAGCCAGCTGCAGGTACTACTGAGTTATTTCACTGTTAGAATATAAATATTAGGCACTCACTGTATACCTAAATTTCTGCGAGAAATCTCTTAAAACCCAATACATGGATATGACATTCTTTTTTTTCCTCATTTTTTTTTTTTTTGTCTTTTTCGTTTTTATGGGTACCAGGGATCGAACTCACAACTGCCTGCTTGCAAGGCAGGCGCTTATGCTGCTGAGCTAAATCCCCAGCCCCTGGATATCACATTCTAAATTATGTTACTTGTTCAGAGAGGATAAAAATGTTGAACATACTATTCACTTTTTATTTTACAAGGCAACAATCAAATAATGTCTTTTCTTTCATACTGTTAATTCCAAGTATACTCTAAATCCAGTCACATATACAGATCAGATCAGAGTGCATCAGATACTCTGATTACAATGTTTTATGTGCTATAGGAAAATTACACTTATTTTCATAGCGGGTAACTGTCTCAATTCATTAGTGGATGAAGATGCTTTGAACACTGAATTAGTTCTACAATGAAGAGGTATGTAAAATCAAAAATATGAGTGTGGAACTGACCTAGAAAATTAGTATGCTATACATGTACATGTTATACAAGCTAAGAATCAGTTTCTGAGTCTCTTCAACAGATCAGAGTTGGGTATAAGTTAACATGGCACACACTTAATAAAGACTTTATAGTGGTGGTTCATTCCCCCAAGGGCAGACAAAGCCTCTAGTGGGAGTGGAATGTTTCATTCATATGTGTCAATGATTCTCAACCTCCTTAAGTTTCAAAACTGCCTGGGGAGATTTTAACCACTCCATAGTGGTGATTATTTAGTGGCAGGTCCCAGTAAGCCCCTATATGAATGGCTGGTAAGGTTTTCAACTACTTTTGTAAGTTAATGAAGTGTTTCCAATGTGCAGCAAGAACTACTACTGTAAGCATGTCCCAAACAAGTCAAAAAGGTAGTACAGCAAAATCAGCCCTACAGGTTAGTATCTGTCATATATATATTTATATACACACACACACACACACACACACACACACACACACACACACACACATAAAAACCCAAGAACACCTGCTATTATTCAAGGTCTTGGGTTATTTGCTGCAT